CCTTTTGAATTTATGAAATTGGTTCTTCCAAGATTTTTAGAAAGACGGTATATTTGAAGTTGATGTCGCCTTAACATTGCTGTTGTCTTTATCTAGTGGCTGAGCTTTGAAGTCGATATTTCTTTAAATATTGTTGTTGTCTTTATCTTGTGGCTGAGTTATGGCCGTAATAGAAAAGGAACTGAGTTCTTTTTTCTAGATTTTGGAATATGCCGATAAAATCAGGGAAGAATTTGGCGAGAGGGCCTCTCCGGAAATCATTCGGCTTCACGAGTCCGCATCCAATAGGCAAAAGGTAAGCAATTATTGGTTTTATTTGGATTTGGACTCTTCACCTCGACACCAATGGACCCTGAGCACTTTTACTTTCATCCGTTTCCTGTTTTTGCTTTTTGACATTTCTTAAGATATAGTTGCATTTGTAAATACCCTCATTCTAACTCACTCGTACACATTATTTTTGTGCTAACATTCTTTCCTAACTCCTGGAGTTTTATTTTTTTTCTTGTACATTCTTTTTTGAGTATATCTTCATGGTTGTTAAAAACCTTTGTTATCGCTTAGCTGTTAGCTTTAACATTTTCATCCTTTCCTCAGACGAACTTAGTTTGCTCGGAATAATACGTAAAAGGCGTTACAAAAACTTTGGAGCTGGTTTTTTCCCTGCCTAGCAGAATAACATACGTTCATGAGATTAGCGACTTTGTTCGTGTGTATCGTTAAATTGGCCTGGAAATTGTAGCTATTTTTTTCAGGCATCTTCTTCAACAGAAACAGCTCCCGTACGTAAAGCGCCATCGGGACCAGTAAAACCCTTACAGTCTACAGGAAGGGCTGCAACCCGACCTTTATCAGGCGCAACAAGTGCAAGGAGTCGGGTATCAACATCCGCGTCAAAAAGTCCCAATGTAATGAAAGCTGCACCAAACCATCCGCCTAAAGCTGTTACGGGTACACATATTTCAAACATTTTCTACAAGTTCGCAATATTCTTCTTTAGCTCAAGGACGTATTCCTCTCACCTCTCGATCACTACAACCTTCGGCCTCTGTGAAACCTTCGTCTTCTGTTAAGCAGAATGCAGCCCCTTACGGTACCATTATCGCTTATTAGGTTTGAGTCCATAACACAGAAATTTCAATTTCATGATTTAGTACCTACACAAAGACGATCTACAAAACCGGTTTTTGCACCAAATGTTGTAAGAGCCACGACTGGTAGTCAGGTAAGGTCTAAATGAAAATTCTATAATTTTAGTGCAACTTTTATTTATTTGACTATTCAGGTC